GGGGGGGGGGGGGGACATGGTCCAGGGAGGGAGAGGAGATTGGGAAGAAGACAAAGCCCCCAAGATTTGTCTGTCGTTTGAATGTGGGAAGTAAGAGAGAAAAAACAAATGGGGGGTTCCCAGTTTGGGGCCTGAGCAAGCACATGGGAGTCAGTATGTGGAAATCAGAGCTGCTATACAGGGGTGGGCAGGACTGGGCAGGGCAGGAAATTCAGCCCTCGGTTTTGGGCATCCTGAAGTTGAGCCTGGCACCCACGTGGAGCTATGGAGAAGGCGGTGGGGTTCTCAGAGTGGAGAAAACTCTGAAGAACAGCCTGGAAGCAAGAGTACAGGCAGAAATTGCTACAGACTGAATGTGTGCACCCTTCCAAAATTCTGATGTTGAAACCAAGCCTCCACCCTGGCCAGCACGGCTCCGTTGGTTGGGTGTCATCCCTTGCACCGAAAGGTCGCTGGTTCAACTCCTGGTTGGGCACAAGCCTGGGTTGGGCCTAGATCCCCGGTGGGGAGTGTGTGGGAGGCAGCCGATCGATGTTCGGCTCTCACATTGATGTTTCTCTCTCCCTACCTCTCTCTCGAGAAATCAATAAAAATTTTTTTTTTTTTAAAAAGAAACTAAGCCTCCAGCAGCCGCGATGAGAATGCCAGTCTTCCCCAGAAGGGTCGTCGACTAACCAGCAAAGCATCTTCACCCAGACAGGGCCACATGCGTCTCTGTCCCACGCTCCAAGCACAGCGTGTGCTCTCTGCTAAGGAAACCCGGTTCAAACACGCGTCTGCTTCCTGGGAATTCTCCTGAGACGCTCAGGCCCGCAACTGCTCCCTAAGGCCACATCTCTGCCTTGTCTATATCTGTGTCCCCCACACTGATCGGGTGATCAGGAAATTGAAACATTGACCGTGGTGCCTTATAGGGCCAATAAATGACGCATCTCTAGAAATAATCTAATCGACGAACATCAAAGACTCTCGGACCTTAAAAAAAATAAAATAAACCCAAGGAAAGGCCAAGCAAGGCCCCGTATTACCTCTGCATAGACACCACACCCGGAAATGACGATATTGGGCCGGAAATTAGTGGCTTTAACTCTCTTCTGCAGCCTGGAGTTGAGATCGGCCAGGGAGGCTTCAGAGAGGATCAGGAGCGGGCTGGCGTCGGAGTAAGCGATCTGACAAGGAGACAGACGTTGTCTTTACAGGAGGCGCACAAAGGGTTTCTTTGTGGGCCTAGCTCTGGGGACCCTCCCCTTTTCCTCCCCCAATCTCTCTAAATATTTCTCCGGTTCTTTTTAACAGAAAAGTCACAGTGGCTCAGAAGGTTCAGCTAGCCGTGCAGATAACAGGAATTATATGATAGAGTGAGCAGGACATGACCTTGGGAGCCCAGAGCTGCCCGTGGGCAAGTGCCCTTGGGGAGCTCACTCCACCTGTTTAAGCCTTTAGTTTCTCACGTTTAGTAAGGTGGTTGGGCTCGACGACCTCATTATGTGAGAATAAAAAAAAACCATTGACTGATTCTATGGATAGTTATTTTTATGCAACTCCACACATCTGTGTTAAGGCCTTTTGCTGACTGTGATTAATAACTGAACGACACAGTACTGGGCTCCCAACCCTACAGTTATGATGAATCTGTGCAGCCTTGTTCCTGCAAAGGCCAGTCTGGTCATTGCAAATCTGTGGATCGCCAGACATATACCCATTTGTACCACTGTGGTCTGACCCTCAGAGGCAACCAAACCGTAAAAAGGCCGGACTCATGCAGTGACAGAATGGAGCGGAAAAGTCACTGCCGTAAAATATTCTGAAACCCTAAGAGCCCCAGCAGGCTCAGGTAAAGAGCAAGGTAGATGCTGATGGCCAGCAATGCAAGAGTTTCCCCAAATCAAGGGACACAGATGATGCTCCCAAGGGAACAGCTGTATTTCTGCCCGTTGCTATTGCCCGGGGGCCACCTGGCAAAACAACAGAGCTGAGCTCAGCAGATATGTGCCCTGCCCGATGGGCTGGAGATGGACAGCTCTCAGCTCCCTAAGAAACCTGCCTTCCATAGGACACCGAAGGCCAAAGCCAAGGGGCGCTCCTCTCACCTGGTCTGTGGGCCGGAACACGCTCTTTATTTGGTGGGACTTTCTCGGTGCCATGTGAGGCTCGAAGTGCACCAGGCGGTAGGGCTGGCTGTTCAGGAAGCTGGTGATCCACTGGGCCGCGGCCTCGCCGCAGTCCCTGCCCTCGATCTCCAGGCCGTGCACTCTGCAGGAGGCAGCAGGGGTTAAGAAGGGGCATGGCTTTGCAAATCTGGGCACCCTACCATGCCCTACCCCCATGTGCACTGCAGCATTGTCCACGGTGGCCAAGACGCGGAAACAACCAGTGTCCTGCGATAGAGGGCTGGATAAAGGATATGGTACATATATACTAGGGAACACTACTCAGCCATGAGAAAGGACGGGTTACTGCCATTTGCGACAACGTGGGTGGACCCTGAGAACATTACGCTAAGTGAAATAAGTCAGAAAAAAGCTAAGAACAGTATGATTTCACTCGTGTGAGATAGAAAACTGAAACTCGTGGACACAAACAGCAGTGTGGCGGTTGCCAGAAGGAAGGGGGTCGGGGGTGAAGGGGGTCCTAATTATGGTGTTGGGAGATTTGACTTTGGGTGGTGGGCACGCAGTGCAATATGCAGATCTTGTAACAGAAACCCACACCTGAAACCTGTATGATCACATTAACCCATGTCACCCCAAAAATTTCAATTAAAAATAAATAAAATTAAAAAGAAAACCACAAAATTATACTAGAAGCGTATTATATTTAAAAACTCCAGGATATTATTGAAATTATATTGGTATTGCGTTTTGTGAACTTTTGGGGTGCCTTCAGATATTTTCCAGCTAACCACATTTTTTGATGTAATACATTCTGAATATGGATTCCATTTGGCATTTGAATTCAAAATGCAGCAACTGGAACAAACGTATAATTAGACCAAATTTTAATTTCCCCATAATAGGATAAAAAATCAACTCTAGACAGGATTTCTTAGAAGCAGTGCTAGTTTTCCTGGAATCATTGCTTCCTGTTGCCCTTCTGATGTCGGGGGGAGAGCCTTGGTACAGAGGGGTCCTGGCTGACTCTCCCAGCTCCCTGGGACTCGGACCCCCCTGGCAGCTGCAGGTCCCATCATTCTTCTGGTCACAGCTGCTTGTTTCTATCTTGGAACCACCTTTTATTAGACCTACATGTCACGGGTCACACAGCCATTTGTGACTCCCTTCCTAACTCCCATTGGGAAGACTCCCAGTCTTCCCAGGCAGGGCAGGGCCAGTCCTGAGGTTACACGCAGACCCAATCTCACCTCTTCCAGGACCCTCTCTCCAGTCACTGCCACCCCACTTTGGTCCTTTGGCCTTTGGTGGTGTGATTTGCCCCCTGCTGACATGTCAACATGCTTTTGTCCCCAGAGTTTTCCAACACGGGACTTTGATATCCGTCAACCCCACATAAACATACATTTCTGAAGTTGCTCCACCTTTGTGATATTAAGGACTTGCTCCCACCTATGGAGCATTTGCAATCAATGACTAATTATTAACCACCTTTCTCAGGGTTCCCTCCCTAATTCGAACTTTCTCGAAGCACTCACTCCAGGGCTAAGAAGGCCGTCTCCTCACCTGCACTTGAGCACGGCGTTCGTGGCAGGCGTCTCGATGGGCAGCTGCAGGTCCTTCGTGTAGGCTGCGCTGAGGGTCAGGGTGTCCCCCTCGCAGGTCAGGGAGACCAGGACCAGGCGAGGTTCCTGGCGAGCAGTCACCATGTTCCCCGTCTCATTAATCACCAGCCAAAACCTGCCATTTGCAAAACACAAGATATGCAGGGACCCTCACGACAAGTTGCCAGTCTACGGGACCCTCAGTCACCTGCTGTCACCTCTGACTTCCTCCCTCCCCATAAACCTACTATGTGTGTGACTGGGAGCTCAGCAGCCCAAGACTGAGTCTTTCAGTTCATTGCAGAGTCTCATAAGCATTCAAACATTCGACAATTTCTGCAGAACATTTTGAGCTCCCTGATGGCACCAAAATCAGAGACGTGGATTCTATTTTCATCTCAAGTGAGAGTCTCACCACTTTCATTCCACCTGCCCCAAGGAAATGACAATAATCTGTTGCCCAGAAAGACTTCGAGGGCCCGCAGTGCCTGGCACACAGGAGGCATTGGACTCTTGCCAGTCGAAATAACAAGACCATTCACACAGCTTGGAGTTCAGTTGACCACATTCAATGCCACGTACGCCTTGCCAAGTCCACCCCCGGCCCCCTCGTTTTAAAAAAATTAATGTTTCCACATTCAGAGCTGCAAATCCTGCAATTTACTGAAAAGCCTATTGTTAATATGGACAATAATATTTCTGGCCAGTATTCCTGGTCTAAAGGTACTTCCCAGAAAGAAAAAAAAAAAAATAGAGAGAAGAGCAAAAGAAAGAATTGTTTCACAAAAAGAAAAATGCAGTTCTGCACGTTGCCTCTCAGCTACCAAGGAAGCTAAACACATGGATGTTTCCGTAATTTCGATTCACGCTGGATTGGGTGATGGCTATTGTGGAAGTGAGCTTGTGCTATGCGGATCTAGAGACATAGAAAAAATATGGCAGGTGCTTCGGGTCATGATGTCCAGCAGGTCTTCGGGGTTGAGGTGTGCAGCTACACTAGAAAGAGTAGGTCAATGCAAGCCCTTCCTCCTGGACCTGGACAGGGGTCTGTCCTCGGCCAAATCCTTGGCACCAGCACATGCATTTTCTTCCTAGTAATTCTTTCTAGTAACAATGGTAGTCTGACCTTCCCAAAATACCAATCTGATTGTGTCACCCCCTAACTCTGCAGTAAGGCAGGTATTGTCACCTCCCGGTGCCCTCACCCACACCAGCCTTTCTTTCTCTTTTTAATTTTTTTATTGCAGTATAATAGATACAACATCCAATACCTGGCAAACTCTTAGGTATATACCCAAAGGAACTGAAACTGTTCCTCACAATGTCAAAGGGTAGAAACAACCCAAGTGTCCATCAACAGAGAATGAATATTTTTTAAACGCGATTTTAACCATTTCTAAGTGCACAACTCAGTGGCATCATGCACATTCGCAACGTTGAGCAACCACCACTATCTATTTCCAAAACCTTTGGATCATCTCAAACAAAGGCTTTGTACCCAGCCCGGCCGGGCGTGGCTCAGTGGTTGAGCATCGACCTAGGATCCAGGCGATCAGGGTTCGATTCCCGGTCAGGGCACAGGCCCGGGTTGCGGGCTTGATCCCCAGTCGGGGGCGTGCAGGAGGCAGCCGATCAATGACTCTCTCATCATTGATGTTTCTCTTTCTCCCTCTCCCTCTCCCTTCCTCTCTCTGAAATCAATAAAGATATTAAACCAAAAAAAAACAAAAAAAAGACTTTGTACCCATTAAGCAATATCTCCCCATTTCCCTCTCCCCTAGTCCTGGTAACCTCGAATCCATCCCTATGAACTTGCCTATTCTAGGTATTCATGTAAGTGGACTCGTAATATTTTTTCTTTTGTGTCTGGCTCACTTCACTTAATAGAATGTTTTCAAGATTTAGCTATACTATAGCAGGTATCAAAACTTCATTTTTTTTGGCCAAATACTATCCCATCATGTGTACATACCACATGTTGTTTGCCCATTCATCTGCTGGACAACTGGGTTGATTCCACCTTTTGGCCATTGGGACTAACACTACAATGAACACTGGTGTACAAGCATTTATTCAAGCCCCTGTTTTGTTTTGTTTTTAAATATATCTTTATTGATTTCAGAGAGAGGAAGGGAGAGGGAGAGAGACTTGAAACGTCAATGATGAGAGTTGTCAGTGATCGGCTGCCTCCTGCACGCCCCCAACTGGGGATCGAGCCCACAACCCGGGCCTGTGCCCTGACCGGGAATCGAACAGCGATCTCCTAGATCCTATAGGTCGATGCACAACCGCTGAGCCACGACTGGCCAGGCTCAAGCCTTTGTTTTCAGTCGCTTTTGGTAAATACCTAGGAGGACGCCAGCCTTTCCCCCAGCAGACCTGTCCCCTCAAGCCCAGCGTCTTTCCCCAGTTTATCACCTCTCTCTAGGATGCTTGTCTTCCAACTGACTTGCCTGGAAAATTCGTAATCATTTTAAAATTTTCAGTTCAAACTATGATGTCATTCCTGACCACCCCAAACAGTTTCTGCCTTTCCTTTCTCTGTGCTTCCCGGCACTTGTCCCATTGAGTCGGTTGTCACATGGGACGGGAAGCCTTCGTTTGCATCTCTTGTTCACATTTCTTGGTAGCATGGCAATAAAGGATTTACTACAGTGCCTGGCGCAAATGCCAGCTCTTACTACTATCCACTGTAACATGGGCTCAATACATGTTTTTTTTAATTGATATAGTACAATGACAGTGCCCTTCACCTCTGGGTCTACAGACTGAATTCCACCATCCTGAGTGGGCCGTACACACGGTGGAATAGCTCGGACTCTTGGCTTCTTTCCTGCAGCAAAGATGCACAGCTCACCTTTCAAAGGCGCCATGAACTCCTGTCTGGGGAGCCTGAAGAAGAGCTACAGCCCCTCAGCCCGTGTGTTACCCCAAGAAGCCCTGAGGGCTGCGGAGGGTGGAAGCAGTTTGAGGTGCAGCTTTGCCACGAGGCCCGGGGACGGCCTGAAGCCAGGCCCCCGAGAGGACTAAGCTACTTACTCCGGGCCTTTGCGAGCGTCGCTGCACCCCAGGAACTCACAGGGATGGTGCCCACCCAGGCAGGGCTTGAGTAAAACCACCACACCAGCCCCGGTGCGCTCAAGGGAGCCGGGGCCCCGCTTCCACTGCAGCGCGACTCTGGGCCGGGAATAATCTGTGCACAGGCACTTTTTAAGCTGCAGGAAACTTGAGCGTCAACTGCTGTCCTTTCCGTCCCATCCTGGGCTGGGCCTGGGCCTGGGCCTGGGCCTGGGCGGGCTCTGGGAGGGCTGGGCTGGGAGGTGGCTCCAAGTTGCCCCAAGTTCTCAAGAGACAGTGATGCAAAAACAGAAAGGCGGGGGGCCAATCCTGGCTGGCAGGTTCTACTACTAGACGATTGGCAGGCACCTGGGGACCGATGTCACACAAGCTCCAGGGGCGCAGCGTGGGAAAGAGCCCATGGGAGGTAGAAAGACAGCCACCCCTGCCAAGCAGGTCGGGACCCCGGGGAGGTGATGCCATTTCCCCCCCTTTTTCCTGGTGCCACCAGCTCTCGGTGGTCGGAAGGGCCCGTGAGGGGGCTCCGCAGACCTGCCCACCTGGGCCCCGCCCGCTCCCCGCCTGCTCCCCTGCAGGGCCCGCGCT